GCGGACCAGCCAACGTAGAACGAACCGCGTCGTTTATACATTCGTCGGATTGTTCTTAACGAGCGGAGGTAAAAACGGCAGCGAACGACGCGATAGTTTTTAAGTGGGTGCAAAGAGAAAGATGCTTTACTACAGTTTCTACTCGACGTTCGTGAAGTATCGTTGGACGAAAGTTTGCCGAGGTAAAAGGGCAAAGATGGAAACACAAGACGGGTTCATCGCCGAAACGGCTCTCTTCTTAGCACCTGGCGCTATGGAATACACCGAGCGTGTTCGTCCACTCGGTGTCACTTCTCCTTCTATTCCTCGGCCTTTTGTCGACGCGTTACGCGGTTATAAAGAGCCACGATCTCCTTTCTTGCCGGCAGGAAAACACGACAGACCCTGCTCGGTAACCTCCCCCAGAGCCATTAGACCAGCCTTTCCCCACGGGAGTTGACTTATGACGCCGTCGGCTACGCCAAGGGGGATCGTCTAACTTACCTTATTTCCGCTTACATACTTACCTTCTCTCCGGATCCGTGACCAAAGGTAGAGACGCTTTCGAAAATTCACCGCCTGGATGATCGCCAACTGCGAAAATTTTTCACAAGAATTGGTTCCACTGGTTTAGCAAATTTTAATTACGCCGGGCTCCTATTAATTCTTTCGTTATCGGCTAACTCACAACGCACTGAAATAAGCATACGGCGAAAGATAAAAAGCATTTACGTGAATTCCGCGCATTTTTCGTTCAAGATCGATCGTACGAGTTAAACGTTATTCGTTAACGAACAATTGTTCGCGTATTTCCAAGCTACGACAAATGATCCGTATCTTCGTGGAATGAGCAACGCTTACTAAGCAACAAATGCAGAGACTGTGTCCTAATATTAACGCAACCTGTACATAACCGTAACTGTGTATACATATACTTGTACTAAATGGCTGGGAATTTCTAGAGTCGCGATACATACGTATTTGAGTTTCGTTACGCTGCTAGAAAAATACCGAAACATTTCGTACAACGTGCACGACGTATTCCGTAAGAGGACCGAAAAGCGAATGGCTTAAAAATATTAATTTCAAGAGAGACAACCCCTGAGTCGGTATGTTTGGCCTCGATTAAATTCCCCCTTGAACGCGCGGTAAATATAGTGACAAAAAAGAGGAGGCGGAAACGTCAACGGGTAATTCGATTTCCTTTCCGGCGCGACGCATTTACCAGACGACGCAACTCCTCGAATGTTCGCGAAAGACGTTTCATGCCCGCATAATCTTCTCGTCTGCCGTCATTCTCTCTTATATTTGCAAAGCGAGATTCCAACGTTAATGCGTTGCGCTAGCAAACCTTCGGCGAAACTCGAAATAGAGGAACGTTTGCAGAAAGAGAGGGGAAGGAGGAAGGAGACTAAGGAATAAGGGGAAGAAACAGGAAACGGTTTGTTTCCGGCGACGTTTCGAGTTTCCCTCTCGTCAGTCATTAAAAATGAAGAGGCCTAAAAGTCTCGGGAACAAGGTTCGTGAGGCTGCCGCGAGGGAAATGGAACGTTACTAAAATCGATGATACTTGACGATTAATATGATAATTAATACGCAACAGCAGCGTATATTTCTATCGGTGGAGAAGGTTCTCGGTATCGGAGAAACGGGGGCAAACGAGCGCGCGGCTCGCCAATGCAACCGTGGCTCTAGTGTAAACATATTTTCTGTTTGTATTTTGACCGAATCGAACGTGCACCGTTGGAAAAGCATCGACTACGAGCCATTACCTCGCTTCCCCTTTATTCGTTTCGTTCCACTTCAACCGACCTCTCTCGCCTCTGAATATTTTCCGATAATTATAATTGACTTTTTTACGCGGTCGATGTGCTACCCCCGCGACTAAGCATAATTATGAAAGCAATTAAAACGTTCGCGAATTACAGCAGCCAGACCTCCTTCTCCTTCGTCTCTTCTTCGACGCGCAGAAACAAGAGAGAGCAAAGAGAAAACAGAGCGCAGCTCGTACTATACCTTCGAGGTAAACATATTTTCTGTTTGCTTTCTGTCCCGCTCGAATCGAACGCGTTCGTCTTTCCAAGTCATCGCCCGTATCAAGTACCATCTGTATTCGTTCTCCAGCCTGTCGTATCTTCGCCCAGAGCGGTCATTGCTATGGAAGTTTGTATCGAACGCAGACCGGATAGAATAGGCGACGCCGAATAAACTACGAGTTACTGCCTACTACCATGCGTATATTTTTCGTTCGTCGCGCTCATGTTAAATATAAGGAAAGATATTTCAATATTGGTGAGTAAACACACGCAAATAGTTTCGACGTTTCCGGCCGCGTTGCTCTTCCGCTCTCGTTGTACGTTTTGCGACGCGACATCGCGATATCTTTTGTACATATTTATGTGGAGACGTATTCCCAGCCTGCGAAACCGGGCTTCCGAGAACCAACGCAGAGAAAATGTTCCTTCCTTGCTCGTACCGATAGACGAAACGTGTGTCATTGTTTCGTCAAAAAAGTCTCCGCGTTTTTGACGGAAGAATTTTTTGTTTGGCAGCCGCCTTGTCGATTCCTTGAGAATTTAAGATGGAATTTATCGTTGCGTTATTATATACTTTATTTAGCTTAATGTAAATTTCACCGCAAGCTGCGAAACGACTGAACGTGTACACGCACACGGTGTGTGTAACCGACGTCTAATGAACTTTTTCGCGATCAAACAGTCGTTTGAGAACGACGTAAGTGACAGGCGCGAGTAAAACGGGCTGACTTGAAACGTTTCCGACGGGGGTTGGCACAAAGAGTCGCGTAGAAATCTCGTAAAACGGCACACGAATATGCGTGAAGAGACGAGAGTGTATAGATAGATTTTCATCTTTATTCAATTTCATCTTCTTTACACGGTGAAAGCCCTTTCGTGCGCGTCGACGTTATCGCGACGCAAACCTAGATAGATCGTGTACACTGCCTGAACGTCATCGAGTTTTATCGCGAGCCAAGAAGATGCTAACGTTATGTCCGTAGCTGCGTTAACGCCCAATGCCTTTCCAGCTTGTTCGTCGTCGTCGTCGTTGTCGTCGTCGTCGTCGTCGTCGTCGTATCTACGTTATTTCTTCTAACTGTTATCACGCTTAAAACTACCGACCGTTGGGTGGTGTCATCATGGGAGTCACGATCTATTCTTTGCGTGCTTCGTCTGTTCTTCAAAAACAAGCGGTCTCGATGTCTCGAACGGTTCTCGTCAAAATATAGATACTGGACACGGTTTCTCGTTTAATTCGCTTAAAATTTGTTCTAGAATCGGTAAAAGAAATACGAATAAAATTACAAATATAAATTTATATATTTTACAGGATTCTTCGAACTGACAAACTCGATCGTAAACCCGGTGATGGTTCGAATACTTTCTCCCAACAAAATTTCAAAGTTTCGAATGGAGGAAAGATGAACGGAAAGGGCATTCAGCTATCGAAGAATTTCGCGAAGTGAAAATGATCGGAACTGTCGGCGATAACGCGTGGGAAAGCAGCAAAGGCGAAAGACGAGCCACGGCATTCGGCCGTTGGCAGCGATCTAAGTTTTTCGCGAGTACGCTAACAACCTGCACGTGACTGGATGGGATAACAATATGACCACGCGTTCCTTCCTGGTCAACTTGCTGGAAATTGTAGATGAGGCTCGATTACGTATTCCGATCGTACGCGATATCAAACTGCCTGGCTTCTGGCTCGTGATGGAGTGTTTTCTACCCTCGACCCCTCCTCTCGCTGTCTTACTCTCTCTCTCTCTCTCTCTTTCACATTCGTTCGCTCGTGTATTCGCTTTCTCTGGTCACCGAAGTCACGTTTGCAACGAAACCTTACAAATCCATAGGGCTGTCGGCCTGGTAGGAAAATATTTAAACCTGCACTCGGCTACCATTCTATTTCGTTGGAAGATAGGCTGATTCGAAGAAGCCAGGTTTCTCATATCCTCTTCTTTCCACTCGATACGCGCAAACACTTGTCCCTGCAATTCTTACAACGAGTGTATTAATATGCGAAAAGTGTGCGGATCTTGACACTTACCTATACGATGATATTTGTTTGCGCAAGTCGCCCGTCCGCTCGGTTCTTCTTTCTAGAAGCAGCCATTAATTACTACCGATAATTATGATTATCGTACGAGAAAACACGAGCGTCGAAAGGATGGAAAACAAGCCCGTTGATCCGTCGTGTTTACTTTGCGAGTACGGGGGTTGGCGTGGCGAAAGAAGGAAATCGAGAGAGTAGGGAGGAAGGTAGGAAGTGCGGCAAGGGAGAAAGCGGAGAGATTGAAGGGGGAGGGGGCTGAATTATACCGAAGGAGTGACGTCTACGGAGATAATCACACGCCTCGTAACAGCCAGTTCATCATCGTGGTATCGTGCTAAGGGGCTTGATGCATCATGGAAATCGCGCACGAATCGGCCAGGCCAAACATAAAGTGGAATAGACGGTCTTTGTAACGAACCTCGGAAACGAATTCTTTCTCTGTCTGCTTCTTCGTGTTGCATAGGAGCTTCTTAGGGTTGTTGCCGACTCAATTAGCGTTAGAAAAACGAAACTAAAGAGCCACGAAGGTGGGCGTAGAGCGTATCGCGAATCAAACTTGCTCGCTACCTACGCACTCGTCCGCGTTCTTTTCTGCGCTCTTCATGGACGCGTTCTTCGCGCGTTTTCCACGAATCGCATCATCCTTGAACTTTAGCCGAGCTGTGAAGCGGCAGTTAGTCGAAAAACTTGGCGATGTATCGAGGAAAAGTTTCGGAGAGCGGCTAAGCGGATTAAAATCGATAGAAGTGGAAGAGCGCGGACCGGTGCGCGATGAAAACGTCGATCGCAGGAAACGAAGCTCTCTTTGACGCCGCCCCGTGTTCTCGCTCCACTCCATTCTTTTCCGTTTCGAGTGGAGCCCCTTTGATGTCGCCTTTAAAAAATTGTTAACGAACGTAGTTGAAGTTGCTCGGTGACGTTCGAAAAAATAACCGCCGCTTTGTGTTTTACAGGAGCGCTGCAAATCACCGCATCCGACGTGAACGACCAAGGGAAGTACGAGTGCGTGGCGAATAATTCCGTCGGCACGGAGTACTCCAAGTCGGCTATGCTCTACGTAAAAGGTACGTCCGGCGATGGTGGCGGCGGCGGCGG